TTAATAGCACAGCCCTAGTTGACGGTGCGAAACAAGATACGCCCAGATAGAGAAGGAATGCCTCACAGGCGTTTGGGCGTGCGAAAGTTTCCAGAAGTACTTGGTGGGCATGGACACATTCAAATTAATCACGGATCACAAGCCACTAATACCGCTGATGAACATTAAAGATCTACACACTGTGCCAGTGAGATGTCAGAGACTTTTGATGAGACTCGTGCGGTTTAATGCAAAAGCAGAGTATGCACCAGGCAAAAGCTTGGTTGTTGCAGATGCGTTGTCACGAAGCCCGTTAAACACTACGGAGGACTTTATGACAGCAGATGTGAGTTGTCATGTAGATGCAGTCATCAGTTGTCTGCCAGTGTCTCAACGCAAGTTGACAGAAATAAAAATGGAGACACAGAAGGATGAACAGCTACAAACTGTGGAGAGATTCATTATGAAAGGATGGCCAGAATACCCCAAAAGTGTTCCTAACAGTGTACATCTGTAGATTTTACAAATGGAAAGACTCTTTGTCAGTGAGTGATGGACTGATTGTCTGGGAATTGCATTGTAATTCCAAAAACTATGAGACACGAGATGCTTGACAGAATTCATGACGGTCACCAAGGCTTGTCAAAATGCAGGGCACGTGCCCAAGACGCTGTATGGTGGCCCGGAATTTCTGAGGATCTTAGGCGCAAAATAGAGATGCAGGTTCTGCATAGAAAATAAACGTGCACAGCACAAGGAACCTCTACAGTCAACAAGACATTGTGCCAGTGAGATGTCAGAGACTTTAGATGAGACTCATGCGGTTTAATGCAAAAGCAGAGTATGCACCAGGCAAAAGCTTGGTTGTTGCAGATGCGTTGTCACGAAGCCCGTTAAACACTACGGAGGACTTTATGACAGCAGATGTGAGTTGTCATGTAGAGGCAGTCATCGGTTGTCTGCCAGTGTCTCAACGCAAGTTGACAGAAATAAAATGGAGACACAGAAGGATGAGCAGCTACAAACTGTGGAGAGATTCATTACGAAAGGATGGCCAGAATATGTCAAAAGTGCTCCTAACAGTGTACAGAGTTTTTACAAATGGAAAGACTCTTTGTCAGTGAGTGATGGACTGATTGTCTGGGAATTGCATTGTAATTCCAAAAACTATGAGACACGAGATGCTTGACAGAATTCATGACGGTCACCAAGGCTTATCAAAATGCAGGGCACGGGCCCAAGAGTCTGTATGGTGGCCCGGAATTTCTGATGATCTTAGGCACAAAATAGAGACATGCAGGTTCTGCATAGAAAATAAACGTGCACAGCACAAGGAACCTCTACAGTCAACACCTCTGCCAGAAAGGCCATGGCAGCGAATAGCCATAGACTTGTGTATGCATAAAGGGAAACAATATCTGGTGGTATCGGACTATTATTCGCGCTACTTGGAGATCCTTCTGCTACAGTCTACTACATCAGAGCATGTTATTCAAAGACTTAAAGCATTAAATTTGCAAGGTTTGGCATACCAGAACAAATTGTTAGTGACAATGCTTCCCGGCCCAGTATTTCCTGTTTCTGGTGTTCTGACCCAGCCCTCCTCTCCCATCTCCTTTTCCAAAATCAGCCTGTTCCTCGGCCCCATCTCCACTGGCCAGTGCAAATGAGCACCAAGGTAGAGCCAGAGGAAAGGAGGAGCCCAGCAGAGCTAGAGGAATGGAGGGATAAGGCACACATGTGCTATTTATTTAAATACTTAGCAGATTTCTAAAGACAAAAAGTGTACACTTCATCAGTCATGATCTATTATACTAATATTGCATTCAGATGACATGTACGCTAGTGCATGCCTCGAATGCAGTTGGCTGTGTTGCCTTTCAAAGTTTCGCGCTACTTGGAGATCCTTCTGCTACAGTCTACTACATCAGAGCATGTTATTCAAAGACTTAAAGCATTAAATTTGCAAGGTTTGGCATACCAGAACAAATTGTTAGTGACAATGCTTCCCGGCCCAGTATTTCCTGTTTCTGGTGTTCTGACCCAGCCCTCCTCTCCCATCTCCTTTTCCAAAATCAGCCTGTTCCTCGGCCCCATCTCCACTGGCCAGTGCAAATGAGCACCAAGGTAGAGCCAGAGGAAAGGAGGAGCCCAGCAGAGCTAGAGGAATGGAGGGATAAGGCACACATGTGCTATTTATTTAAATACTTAGCAGATTTCTAAAGACAAAAAGTGTACACTTCATCAGTCATGATCTGTTATACTAATATTGCATTCAGATGACATGTACGCTAGTGCATGCCTCGAATGCAGTTGAATGTGTTGCCTTTCAAAGTATACTCCATTTGATGGAGTGTGCAAAACGCAGGCGGTCGACACACACGCACACTCGAGAAAGCTTCATCTTTATCCAGTGTCTGTTCTATTTTTCTCCCAAAGTTATGACAGATAAAAATTGATTTGTACTTTTCTTAACTAAAGTTGCAGCTATCTGATAACTAAATACACAACCGCTTGTCAATGCAGGCATCTGTTGTTGTTGCAATATCTGCTATTTTGTTGTTGTTCCATCTTTTTAGTTTCGTTTTCTACTGTGAAACATATGGCAAGGCCAGTGTTGCCACCTTGTGGAACAACTGATTAGTGCAGAACAAATTCAATGTGCATGTGTGATGTGCATTGTTCAATGTGCACGTACAAAGTATGCACGATTACAAATATAGGATGGTGCTATTCTGGTGAAAAAATTTGTGTCACACCATTAAATTTGAGTGGACCCTCCATTAAATCGGGTGGGAAGCAATCGCATGCAGTCGCTCACTCACTAAAGTGTATGCAATGCAAACTGTTTTTTTTCACTTACGAAATGTTCACGTTCAGTGGGGAGAGAAGAAGGAGGGCACAGTAACTCTTCTAGAGGGTCAAGGCCTGCGAATGGCTCCCCTTGGCGCCGGCTCTGTACTCCATTATACGTCCTTGTGTAGTAGATTGAAAATGCCAATTGATTAAGAAACACCCATTTTGCTTCTGCATGTGCACTTCTTAGTAGTCTAATTGATGCTTCCTCATGAATGAGAAAACAGGTCCATCCTATAGGTCCATCTTGTTTGACTTCTCTCGCACAATAAATAAATGCAGCCACTTTCCTAAAAACTGCATTTGCATTTGACCAAATGCTGCTTTCACCATATACCTGGAGTGTATAACTGTCATGACCAGTTAACCAACCAGGAATTAAGACTATTTAAGATAAATAGAAAGGGTTTCTCTCTTGAATCTCTGCAATGTATATGTGGCCATTGGTTCTCCTAACATCACAAAACTTTTATTCAAATTGTGAGTAGAATATATATAAAAAGCTAGGAAGGAGTGCTCATTTTATAATCAAGCTGTCATTACCTTCAGTTACAGCGCAATTAGTTACAATGCTCAATGCTGCAAACGGTCTTCAGACTACAGCTTGTGGACACAAATAAGCATGAGACCGTTTGAAAGCAGCTGCCTTTTAGTGGGTATCGAATTGAGTCTAAATAGTGTTGGCTATTGGACCCAAAGTCCGCCTGTGCCTATTGATTACCTGCACCACAAATGACAGCATAAATAATATTCCACCTGTTACAGCAAATATTAGCAGAGCAGTTTGCCAAATGCAGGACTCTGATCTAGGCAATACACACCAACAACCATATAACTATATCCTCAAGCCCTGCTAACCAGGCACCAATTAATGACGCCAAATACCCACGCTATACTCAGTTCAGATACGATTTTATCTATCACACCATATATACACTGTGAATTCTGAATTTCCTTATATCATTAGGTTATTTGGTGTCCTTTTGGAGTCTCCAAGTATAATTTTTTGGAAAGACACCTAAATTTGCCTTGAAAAAAGCTCACAGAAAATACAGTTCATCCTACAGTCACCCTTCAATCTGATGGCCTACTTTGCTGGATATAGAAAATTATGACAAAATAATGTGTTAAAGGCACAATATGTAAGATTTTTTTATTAAAATATCCATGCTTTACCCCACATATGCACGACTGGAAGCAGCGGAAGCGGTCGACTGTGGCATAATAAAAGCTCCGCTGCTTTCCAGCCGTGTGTCGCGCTTATTCAGCGGCTTCGTTTCGCTTCGACGGCTTTCAGCCTCACCCTGCTTCATTCTACTACGTTAATAAATCATTAGCTCATCCATGAACATGATTTCTGCCCGAGTCCCGTCGGATTGCATCGGCTGTGGAGATGAAGACCACAACTCCCATGATTCCACACTCAGTCACTGTCATCAAACTATGCCTTTGTCTATTTGTTTATTCTGAATACGCGCCCTCTAGCGGCGAAAATTACATATTGTGCCTTTAAATAAGATAAATGGCTTGATTTCACAATGAGTGTGCAAGTCATCTACTGACAGCCCTAATAAAAATATTAAATAAATAAGTTATGAAACTTTACCCTCAGCCAAAATTATTTGCTCTGGAACAAGAAAAAAAATTCTTACTGACCCCAAACTCTTGAACAGTAGTGTATAATGTTACAAAAGCTTTCTATTCTGATAAATGCTGTTCTTTTGAAATTTCTATTCATCAAAGAATCCCCAAAACTGCACAAATGTTTTCAACGTTGATCATATTCAGAAATGTTTCTTGAGCAGCAAATCAGCACATTAGAATGATTTCTGAAGATCATGTGACACTGAAGACTGAAGTAATGATGCTGAAAATTCAGCTTTTCTAACATAGGAATAAACTGCATTTTAAAATATATTTAAATAGTTATTTTAAATTGTAAAAATGTTTCAGAATATTACTGTATTTGCTGTATTTTGGATCATGTAGCTTTGTTGAGCAGAAGAGACTGCGAATCGCAAGAGGAAGAGGAAGAAGATCAGTACAAAGTTAGACCCCTAATAATAATAGGAATAATAATATTCTCAGGAGAACTCTGGCCTAAAAGCCTTCCATTAAGGAGCGCACAGAACAGCGCAGCGGTAATTGCTCCTCCGGTCCAGCGGGGGGCAGTGCGCGTGAGTGAGAGCAGCGAGGATCGCGGAGACTGCGCCGGCTGAGAGTTAGGAAACGTGGCCTTAAGAGAGATTCCAGCTCAGCTCAATGAGAAGCGCACTCAGCGGACACTCTCAGCGCATCTGTATTTCAGGCTCGCGGTGTTTAAAGGCGCGGAAACATGGCTGATGTGGAGCAGAACGCAGCCGGTAACGGGTCGGATGCGGTGAACGGGACCGCGGTCCGCTTCGTGTCCAGCGCCGAGGGCACAGCGCTGGCGTACGGCAGCCTGCTGCTCATGGCCCTGCTGCCCATCTTCTTCGGAGCGCTCAAGTCCGTGGGCTGCTCCAAGAGCAAGGTAAACTCGCTTTCATATGGACTGTGTAAGTTGCAGTCAGTGTGGAAGACTGTGCGAAGACAGAATACAAGCCTCCAGAGTGTTAAATCTCCGTGCTGGCGCTGTAAGCGAACATCAGTGTGTTAGTCAGGAGTCCTCTGAGAAGTCTATGCAGGCCTGTCATAGTGCCATATGTTACCTAATACATGATCTGTTTAACATTAATAACTGCATCCACTGATATGTTTTATGTATGTTTACTGGACACTTTGTCAATATGTACTTACCAGTGTAATTATGTAATTCGCTGTGTTTTGTTCCTTCTGAAGCGATATGAAAGCTGTGTGAGAAATAGACACAAGTTTTAAAATCTTTCTTTATGCTGCCACGCTCAAAAGTTGCATCTTATTTGCAGATTAAGCATTTATTATATTACAAGACACGTGGGAACCGTGTTTGACTGCGTTGAGGTTTTATAACATTCATAACTTAATAACATAAGTTCAGGGTTTGAAAGAGGGCCATTCCTGTCAACTCAACCGGAAGTTTTGATCTTGTCATTTTTTTTCCCTAAGGAAAGATAAACATGTATAGTGATGAAAATATTAAATATTACATTGCATGGATGAATGTTTACAGAGTAATCCACTATTTTGTAAAGGGGGGACAGATTCTGGCTCAAAATTCAGGGTGGTAAAATTACTTTAGAAAGATGGCAGCATAATTTTATTTTATTTGACTTTTTTCACGGGTAGGTCTATTAGTAAAATCTGTTGACTTCAGCTATCTTTGTTGCATTATATGCTAGTGGCGGCTGTTCAGAAATGGGGAAGAAGCACTTTAAGCACTGTTCTTCAGAGTTTGCATGCCTGTAACACAAGAGGTAGTAAAGATATCTCAATATCATTTTAAATTCCCTTTCTTAATGCACATTTTTAAAACTGTGTTCTTCATTTTTAAGGACGATATGGTTCAGTCCCAGAGACATTAGGAGCACAGTGCGACTCAATGTCCAGTTTGTTGAATTTGACCCATTTTCTGTGGTTGAAAACCAAATGCGGTAACTTACAGCTAATCCTTATTGTATTCAAAGAACAATGGATAACACTTTATTTTGATAGTCCATTCTACTAACAGTAAGTAACTTTAACTACATGTCAACTATCAGTCATTAGAGTGTTAGTAGACTGTCTGCTTAATATCTTCTAACACTTTATTTTGATGGGTCCACAACATACAACATACTGACTATGAGAAACTTTAACAAATTAATGAGAGTTAGTTGACATGTTGCAAAGTTACTTATAGTTAGTAGAATGTCTAAAGTGGACTATCAAAATAAAGTGTAACTGAACAATGTCTGAAGAACAAATAATATTATAAGTAAAAATGTATGTATGTAAATGTGATGAAATGTAGCAATTCCTATTCAAGGGAGCGCTGCAGAACCCTCCCATTTACACGTATGCAAGATTTTTGTAACTATTTATGTTAACACTATTTAAGATGATAGTTTTGCAATTTTACATCAGCTATATCTTGACATGAGTTTTTGCTGGAGAGCTCTCGTCGCCCAGTATGCTGCTTAGTGTGGATGGAGAAGAAGAATATCTTGCCTTGAGAGTAGTGCTGTATAAGTAAAAATGTATGTATGTAAATGTGAAGAAATGTAGCAATTCCTATTCAAGGGAGCGCTGCAGAACCCTCCCATTTACACGTATGCAAGATTTTTGTAACTATTTATGTTAACACTATTTAAGATGATAGTTTTGCAATTTTATATCAGCTATATCTTGACATGAGTTTTTGCTGGAGAGCTCTCGTCGCCCAGTATGCTGCTTAGTGTAGATGGAGAAGAAGAATATCTTGCCTTGAGAGTAGAGTGAAAAGGGACCCCTTTCAAACAGTGTCGCGTTCCGAACGTTGTTTAAGCGGCATACACCGACGTTGCGGTATTTTAAAAATTCATATAACAAAAATAAACACCGGTATTCGGTATGAACCGGTATACTACTCAGCACTACTTGAGAGCCATCTCTCTTTTGGATTAAGCATCATAGACGAATGTCTTTAATAACATTTATTTGATCATAACTACAGTAAAAACAGTAAGATTGTGAAATATTACTATTTAAAATACCTGTTTTCAGACTTCAGTTTCATATAATCATTCCGAAATTATTCTAATATGTTGATTTGGTGTTCCAGAAACATTTTATCAATGTTGAAAGCCATTCAAATTTTTTATTTATTTTTTAAAATAAAGAAATTAATACTTTAGCAAGGACACATTAAAGAATCAAAAGTGACATTGAAGATATTTATATTGTTACAAAAGATTTCTATTTCAAATAAAAGCACTTTTAAATTGTTACATTTCACAATATTGTTAATAACCCTCAGAATTGACAGTTTACGTGAGTTTTTGAAATCACCCCTTAAATGTTATAATCCTCATTACAACTTGGTTTCTTATTAATATTTTTCATGTTCCATATCCTATGCCAAAGTACACAAGCTTATGGTGCACAAAGTAGACGGTGTGTGTATATATATTGTGACCATAACCATGTTTCTGTGTCTCTCTATCAGAGTGCTTCAGATATGCCCGAGACCATCACAATATATAAATGAGTAAGTGGCTTTTAAAAAAAAGCCAAGTAAAAGCCGAATTAAACATGCAGGGTTCTATACACTTTTTAACATTTATTTCTAGCACTTGTACCTTACACTGCACTTACAAATTGCTTAATATTATGACATTAATGTTTTAAATATAAAAACGGCTATATAGAAATAAAAATGCTAGAAAAAAAATTTAATACTTTTAAATGTGAAACTAAAATTACCAGTAGGTGGCAGCAAACTACTGTCCTAATAAGTGAGTCACTGAGTCATTTATTCACTAAGGGTGCTTTCACACCTGTAGATCGATTACTTTGTTCCGAAACAGGGATTAAAATTATTACAATGTTGCTTTTTATTCTTGGTGCGGTTCACTTTCACACGGCAAAGTTTCTAAACGGACCAAATTTGTTAATACAAGTCACGCGCGAGTAAACTGTTGTCTCATTGGTCAAAGTTCCACGGTTTATTTTCCGGGATTCCACTTAGCTGTCACGGCTGTCATTCGTCAGGATGCAACGATAACGCTTATTGTTGTTTTTTTTTGTAGCTGTCCTTATATTAATTTATCATTTTGAGCAGTAGTCCAGGATTCATCGGGAAAACATTTTTAAAGTGCACCTACTAGGAAGAAGAGCAATAAGACGGCATTATAAAGAATCGTTCAGCCCTAATCAGAAGTACGAGCCTCAGTGGGCGGGTCTTGTCGGGAGTGAATGACATTGCAAGTAGACACTGTTGGATGTGCAGAAAGCAAATATTGCGGTACTAATAGAAATGATTTTAATGCGCATAATAAACTCAGTGATGATTCGTAAAAGGGCATAGTAAAAACATTCGGGGCTTGACTGAAAACATTCAGGGCCCCCTTAGCCCATGCCTAGCACCGCCCCTGGTTGAAGGTGTTGTTTTCTGCAAAATGGTACAAATGATACAACCAGTCTGTTTGTTAGCTTGCAGTACATGCAGTGTAATATCATTGCTTTGTCACACTTGATTTTAAGGTTCAGTTCTTACTATTAACCGTGACCTTTGCCTCAAACTCCTAATTTGCTGCTTATTAATAGTTAGTAAGGTAGTTGTTGGGTATGGGGTGGATTAAGGAGCTAAAATATGGTCATGCAGAATGAGACACTGATATGTGCTTTATACTGTAAGTAATAATAAAGCCAATGCACTAATAATATGCATGCTAGTTAATTGGTTACTCATTGCTTAAAGTAGGTTTGGGGGAAAATGTTCATTTCTGCCATTTAAATGTTTCTGTTTAAGGTGTTAAAAATAAATGCAGCATTTGTTGGAACAAATCATTATTATACAAACAAAACATGATTTTTTAATTTTTTTTTGTATAGCTGCACAGGCTGGGCATGCAAGCAGACTTCAAAAAGCCGTGTTTAGATAATGTAGTTAACTCTGTGTGTGTGTGTGTGTGTGTGTGTGTGTGTGTGTGTGTGTGGCCTTATATTTGCTTTGTGTTCCATAGAAGATTGTTATACAGGTTTGGAACAAAGTAATGGTGCTATATCATTACAACTTCATTTTTGGGTAAGCTGTAGCCTATAATTTCTAAATAAGCATAGCTTATTATACATCTATTACCGATTTATTCATTTAAGTATTTGGGATTTTAAAAACAAGTAGAAAATGTGTTGAATGTGTAATGTTTAACCCAACTGAAATTAACACAGTTTCACTGTAGGGTATGCAAACCAATTAGGTCACGTTTTAAATGGCGTGAACGACAGGGATTCAGCATGACTTCGATGAGGTTGAAACCGAGCACAGAGAGCAGGAGAGAAGCAAACATGCTAATGCTAAAGATCGGACACCACACAGAATACAAATGCTCTTTAATTATGTCATGAGTCCAGGAGTTTGCTAATACTCTAGGTTAGACCATAGGGCTGGGTAAAAAATATCAATTTCTCAAATTTAATAAATTCTAATTTTTACAAAATTATATAGATTCTTAAATCCCAAAAATCGATTAGTCTAGCCTGTTTTCAGTTAATGACCAGAACATTAAATTGCACCTCCCATCCACTAAATCGCAAAAAGCTTTGTGCTCCGTTACTTTTGATATGAAACAAAGTCCCAGATTTTAAAATCTTCTTAAAGTCTTTTTTTTATTTTTTTTTTTACAATGTTCAAACTAGGCCTGGGCGATAAAATAGCCCACGAGATGCGCCGCTGCTGCGTTATTCATTCAAAATATTAGAGAAATATAGTAGCTCAATGCGGAAAAGATCTTTATTTTTAAAGAAACCAAGCCATTCACACAGAACGCATTTTTCAGACGGACAAATATGACTGCTGCACTTGTGTCTCACACAAGAGATGTAGCCATGCAAGTTTTTACGAAATTATATTTGATTTTTATGAGTTAATTTAGACGTAATGCACTTTTTTTTTTTATAGAGTTACTTGCGTTGACTATTTAAATGCGCTGCATTATTTTGCTCATTGTGGCCTCGGGAGACAAGACAAAAGTTTCTTTAAGACCTATTTAATCTGCATATAAAACATTAGAAATGTAGCAAATTAGCTCAAAAGGGAAATGTATATAAATAGTTAATTATGATTAATTACAATTATTTATATCAGCTGCCAGTAGTAACTGTAACAGAATTAAATTGCCATCCACCAATCTGTTCGTCCAGCGAACATTCAGTGTAAGTTTATATCAACTCTAGGAAAGGATATTTCCATGGCCACAGAAAATACTTTCATACAGTATTAATGCTTTAGAGCATGTAGTAAGGATCAAAATCGTAAAGGGACATTAATTTGCAAGGCAGAATCAGAAACTCATGTAATTTGTGCACAAGAGTTTTATTAGCTAAACGCTAACACAAACTAGTCAAACAAACAATCAATCAATCATACATGGGAAAGGGCAAATGAGGCTTGATTGATGAAACCATCAGGAAAACCTAAGAGAGACATCAGCGGAGATCCTAGGATCTTTGGTGAATGGAAATACAAGGCCAAAGCCTGGTGCAGACTTGAGAGTTGCAGAAGCATTCTAGCTCACATCCTCATCTTCTCAGAATCTAGCAGAACCGCAGACTGACTGAGGCAGGTCACTGGTGTGAGAGCTTTATCTCTTATTGAGCACACACCTCTGGGAGGTCACAGAGCCAATGGTGGCTTTCACTATTGGAGGGAAAGTTTACGACTCTTTGTCTTAGAGCATGGTATTTTGCATATGTAATTTGATTGGGTGTTGACACAAAAACTACTAAAGATTCTTAGAACACTAATATGTTTCATAGGTATATACATATAATATACACTCTCAATTAGATCATCCAAAGACGAATTCATAGAGACCAAACATGGTACAGTATATGTAAGGTTACATGAATGAGTGGTTCTATCATAAGCATGCATAAAACAGTATATAATACAAAAGACAATATACAAGAACAGTAACAACATACACAATGACCTGAAGTATATGTGTTCATTCAAAAAAAGGTTTTCCTATGAATTAAGCATTTGTAGCATCCAGTGGGGACATAATTACTGATTATAATGAATTATACTGTCTTTTTACGCGTTGCATCGCGTCGCGTAAACATAAAACCATGTTGTTTGTCATTTCTCCGATCACAAATGCAGACAAGCCCTACTCTACACTGCCCAAAAAACTCGCTTTAAATATATAAAATATGAGAGTTGCAGAAGCATTCTAGCTCACATCCTCATCTTCTCAGAATCTAGCAGAACCGCAGACTGACTGAGGCAGGTCACTGGTGTGAGAGCTTTATCTCTTATTGAGCACACACCTCTGGGAGGTCACAGAGCCAATGGTGGCTTTCACTATTGGAGGGAAAGTTTACGACTCTTTGTCTTAGAGCATGGTATTTTGCATATGTAATTTGATTGGCTGTTGATGCAAAAACTACTAAAGATTTTTAGAACACTAATATATTGCCTATGTGCCAACATATAATATACACTCTCGTTTAGATCATCAGAAGACGAATTCATGTGTCATTTATGTTGGGTTGAAGTGTTCTGGAACAGTGTTGTAAATACAACTTAACCACTGATTTCTAGACGTGTCCATTTTTGGAAGACCAAACAAAGTAGTTTCGCTTTCACGACGAAACAGCATCACACACAGTGGCCTAGAGTGAGTGCCGGGGGCTAGCGTGAGGAACGGCCAGAGGGTTAGAGTGAGCAGAAATGGGTGGGCTTGAGAACGGCGCGGCCAGCGATTTCGACGATGGAGCGTCCGGAAGGACATGTGACGACTCCGGGCTGGACTCTGCGTCGTCCACGGTGAAAGCCGATCCGGCGATCCACAGCGCAAAGTTGTAGTATTTCCTCAGCAACCAGCACGGATCAGCTCCAGGCATGACGAAGCAGATATCGTCCTCTTTTGGAAAGCCAAACAAAGTAGTTTCGCTTTCACTACGAAGCACACAGCGCCTTCACGACATGGCGGCGGCAACAACAATACTACAGCGAGAATAAAAGTTACGCCTTCTGTCTTTGCGTGAACATTTGGGCGGCGTTATGCAAATCTTCCCACATAGCGACGTAGATATGTGGGGGCGTGTTAGAATGAGCCGGTTTAGGTAGGCGTGACTGACTCTGAACTTTTATAAAGAATATCTCTTTGGATTTGAGACTTTAGTCTTTGCAACTTTACAGATCTTTTTTATGCACCAAGAGCTTGTAACACTCCAAAGAGAAAGGAAAAATTTAAATCGCATCATATGACCCCTTTAATTTAAAAATACAGTGGTTAAATGTAAAAAAAATTCTATTACTCTTTGTTTTAAAAAAGGTTATAAAAAAATGTTAATATCGATATCAAAGATATGAAACATTATACCGTTGATAAATTTTAGCTATATCGCCCAGCCCTAGTTCAAACAATAAAAACTGTTACTCAATCAGGGTTTAAATCACAGAAAGACGTCAATATAACAGCTTGTAAACAATAGAATTCAATAGAACTCATTACAACTCATTCTAAAACAATAGAACTCGTTAGTCGGCTACAAAAATGAACTCTAGAGAGGAGTATTTTACTAAATATATGCACCATATGACATTCATTATCATTTTTTCTGTTCTTCAATATTTAATGTAATTTTGTTTGTATAAAATGTTTATATAAAAAAAAAACAAATTGGAGTAGAAATGTAATTATGTATTGTAATTATGTAATGTAAACAAAGTTAGTATTATAACCTGGCTCTTGTGTATTTTACAGCAGTTGAGGCATTTTTTTTCCTTGAGAGAATTTGACGTACTGTACCTGCAGGGCTCCAGACTGCGACCATTTTTTCTGCCGGTGCGAGTAAATTTTGTGCGCGGTCGCACTGGCACGATCACCGTGTTGCCCAACTCCTAAGCGCTGCCATTTCTGTTGCATACGAGAAACATCAAACGGCAAACAAAACAGTGCTACTCATTTGAGCTGCGCAGCGCGACCGTTTATCAGCTCGGACCAATAATTGAGCGCAGCGCAAGCAAACTGGTCTGAGCTCAGAACAGCTTTACTGTTTACTGACCCAGTGTTGATCTCGCGACTCCCTACAGCACAGCACTGCGAGATCCAGTGAGAAGTGTTTGAACTCGCCGCAGAATGAATAAAGTTTGCTGCGAGATCTAGCAAGAAGTATTCAAGTTCTGCACAGAATTCTGTTTTAAACAGATCAAACAGCGCTGATGTAGAAAACAAGAAGCAGTAATGCTAACTGTAACCATGGTGTTGTGACAGAATGAGTCGAATGTTATTACATTATTCATTTCAGGGTTTGTACAACTTTTTGAGAGAGAAATTCAATGACTTTTCAATGACTTTCAAATATTTCACACAACTATTTCCAGCAATTTAAATCTCTAAAAAGTATCCAATTTAAATGTTTTGAATGGAATGACCAAAATATACTGTGTGGTAAACACTTTTAAATAAAATTTAAAAAAAACATCAAATTACCACTATAACGAGTAGATGGCAGCAGAGGAGCTCTTATTGGCTTATTAGTCATTCATTTCCATTTTTTTTTGCTTTATTTTGATATTATAAAATCACTATTATAAAATATCAAATCATCAAGAAATCCAACTGTCAAGTTTTGCATTTTTTTTCATGTGTATGAAGTAAGAAAATCACAACGTGCCTTGAAAAACAAACTTTTGTTCAATTTGCAACTGAATCACTCAAAGAGCATTCCTTTGAAAATCGCTAAAGTTGTCGGCCAGTTCAATATAATAGGCTTCTATAAAAGAATAATGGAACAGTTAATGAGAGTAGAATATATTATTTATTCATATAAAAGTATATTTTGCTCGTTACTGTTTTGAATAAAAGTAAATTTTGTAAACTTCCCAACTCAGGCTCAGTGCTTTACTGTCAAATGTGCATTACCAAGAAATAAATGTGTAATGTTATTAGTAACTGCACATATTAATTCAAAGCAATAGTATTTTTATGATTAAATTATCTTTTTTTAATACCCCCCCAGCGCTACCAAATCTGCTTCCTGCGCCAACATCTGTAGAACGTACTGGCGCTGGTGCCACTTCTCAGAAATGTTAGTCTTGAGCCCTGAGTCTATTTATTATCAAAGCATTTGTCAGTAATACAGTTAAAATGGGGAAAATATGTGAACGATTTTGCATTGCAGGCTGATTTAAGGTGTGCCCCTAAATTTTCTGCTTGTGCTCCTAAAAATTTTCAGTCAGGGGCTACAGTGCTCCTAGTAATAACAGTTAGTCTGGAGCCCTGACCTGATTTATAATATAGCCAAAATAATCAATATTGAATTGAATTGAATCGAAACGAATGGCAAGCTTGGGAATCAAAATCGAATCAAATCATGTTATTTGTTCCAAAATCCAGCCCTATTGGATTTGCTGGCCAATAAATGCTAATCAAGTATAGTTTATTAAATGGATACTGAATGAAAAGAAAAATAACACAAAGTAAAATATATTTAAAAGAAATCTGGACCATAAAAATTAGGGATGCTCCGATCCGCCTTTTTCACCTGTGATACCGATTCCGATACCTAGGGTTCGGTATTGGCCGATACCGATCCGATACCAGTGAAGTTTTTCCCATTTAAATAAATGTAGAATTTATATATCTCTGTGTGTGGAACTGATAATCATTCTTTCAAAATGTTTTTTTCCCTCATTTAAATAAATATAGAATTTATATATCTCTGTGTGTGGAAATGATAATCATTCTTTCAATCTACTGGATACAGACTACTTCATTATAAAGAAAAATAAAATAAACAATAAATATGAAAAAATATAGGCCTATGTATATTTATAATCTATGACAAAAAATTATCATAAAGTAGGTTAGTGGATAATTCGGCAGCAAAAGTTATTCTAGAAAAATCAGTGCACAATTTTAGAAATCCAAAAATGTAGTGAAAAAACTATTTTGTGGGGAACAAATAAGTGTTGCACTAAAATGTTACACATTGCTATTTGTATTATAAAATCCATTCATTAAAAACATTCATATATATGCTTAAGTATATACTATAAAATTAAAATACATTTCTTTTAAATGTATAGCATATTTTTTT